AAGAGCAAGAAATTGAAGCAAAGGAAAAGAAGAAACAACAGGAAATAAAATTAAAGGAAGAAATAAAGCAGCAACGATTAACCAAGAAGATAATAAAGGAAAAATAATTATTAAGAAAGGAATAGGAAATGAAGAAGAAAAAGGAACTGAGAGAAAAACAAAGGGAAGAAAAACTTAAAACGCAAATGGAAGAAAGACAACTTAATTTACGGAAGAAAGATGAAGCTCAGCACTTATAGACACACAACACACAATATCAGAAACATTATTTTTGAAAAAATTACACTGATTTTTTTCTCTTCAGGTGTAATCTAAGAAACATTCAAGTAGTTGGAATGCACCATTACGGTCGCCGGGAGTTAGATCGGCTGGGGTCATACATAGTTGATATCGAGGCTAACAACTCATATGATCCAACCGCCGTGGAAGTATATAATGGCCAACGTAAAGTTGGCAATCAGAGGCGAGACAGCGCGAAGGCACTTCACGAGGTTATAACCGCAAACAAGTCTAAATCAAAATACTTCCTTAGACCTATTGAAGAACCTAAGGTGCTGTCCAGACGTGTTGGACCTTAACAAACATGTGCTTTTGTTTTTGAAATACTTGAAACAGACATTGAGTGTATTACACAAGTGGTAATTAAGCACAGCATAATATACGCAAAAGTAATGGAATTGCCTTCAAAACGTTCAACTTAAAATGTCAAGGTCATTGGTCATGGGTTATTAAGGATCTTCGTGTTCATGCTAGTTTTTCGTTACATGTTAATTTGTTCTTTAAAAGCATTTTGAATTATTTGTGTTTACAATATTTTGCTGGCTGCATAGCATTTAAATGTATATAACAACGTTTCAATAGTATTTGTTTTTGTCAAATGTATTATATCAAACTAGATATCATTGTTAAGCTTTAACTACCACTGACCGTTCCAAGGCGGTACCCCTCTGTGTTCCTTCACGTGTTTTTCATGTCTGTGTTGTTACCTGTTTTCGAATGTTTACATGTTTTGTGATGTCTACTTTGTTGGATTGTCGTTTACGGTAGGTATTTTATCGAAACCCTTCCCATTTATAATCCCCTCCCCTTTTCATCCTTACAGCCCTTATCCCTTTAATTCCCATATGGGCCCGTTTTAGTTTATGTTATTTCACACATTACATGTCCCTCTCCTTTCGCCGCCTTTATGTCCACTCCAGGTTTTGGTTTGGTGCCTTCTGGGTGCCCTACTTTGGTGTGTCGGGGGCTGCGTCCTGTGAACATTGCCTTTGCCTGGTTGATCTTAATTCTTGTCTTTTAAAATTTTCTTTGATATTATTTGTCAGAGTAATTTTCAATAAATGGCAGTTTTATTGGTTTTAGATAAATATTTTTTAAGATTTAAACAGTTCTTCATGTTTGCAATATTATTAAAAAAAAAACCCAGAAAAGTTGACGATTATAGGTCCCATTGACGACATTTTGCTCCATGTGTTGACGACTAAAGGTTCATTAGTCGGACGTCATAAGACACCTGCCTGGTTTCCCGTCTTATATCATAAATGTTATTTATACAGCATGCGTTAATTTTTATATCAAGATGCAAGTTTGATTTGATGACAACAGGGAACCAGTGCATTAATATAATAATCATATATTATATCGTTGTGGCGGCGCGTAAAGTATTCAAAGTTGACGAGTATAGGGCACTTTACGGCAATAGTGGTTGAAAATGATCATTTATTTAAAAAAGAAGAATCCAAAGATCGCCAGTTAAATACATGAAATAAAAGTGCGAGACCTATATAATAAAATATATTGTTCATGACTGGTATATCGTTTCAGTTTCAGTCCAATATAAACATCACAAATTACTAGTATACAAATAATTAAAGCGCTACTTACGGAATTATTTCCGTATTCATGAATCATAATTTTATACAGCTTAAATGAAAGTGTTCGATATAAGGTTTCATTGAACATGCTCATGAAAGACGTTCTTGCGTCGTCATTAGCGTTAACAGAATTCGAATATCAATATTATTTGAGAAGTTATTAATGATTTTGATCTTTCTGCAAATGTTTTGTTATTGTTGTTGTTGTATTTGATTTAATTATTATGAAACTTTAAATAGTGAAAAACAGAATCCCGTAAGGAAGCCCAACACGGCAAAATTGTAAAATGTTGCAGGCTCGGTTTGATTGAGCCTGTTCATGGACGGTACTGGAAAGTGCAAGTTACCGTCCACGCCCCCTAGCACCGGCTAAGTAGAATTCAACATTTAAACACAAAAATGGTGAATTTTGAATTTAGAAACATCCGCAGATGTGTTCATACGGCGGTTATCATGGAACCTTCAATGTGACAAAGTAGTGTCATTCCATGAAAAGCGGCGTATGGTCCCCAAGTAAAAGAATGCATGTGCTCTAAACGAGAAAACAATTGGCGAACCTGAATAAAATGGAATTTTGAAAGGGGATCTGAGGCCATACCTAATACATTTAGTAAAATCGGAATGATTCCCGAAAAATAGAATCGGAATCACATGTTACCTTACACTAACAGTTTTAGCGGGGATCAGAGGTTATCAAGCGTGCATATAAAATTCTTGTGGTTCATTTGTTCAATTGGCTTTTCAATCTGGTAATAAAGTAATCGGGAAATTCTACAAAAAAACATTCGTTATATTGACGAAAATGAAATACATTTACAAATTTATACATTTAAATCGAGAATTTTAAAGCAAATTTCGGATGATTTGATTCATGACCACCTTATTCACTTCAAATGTGACGGAGATAAGTTGCCTTGATTTAGCTGACATAATAATGACCCTGTGATTTTTTTCATTTCTTTTTTTCCCTTCATTATTTTAAGAAAATACTTTCTTGAAAAAATTTAAGTCCATTTATTTAAGTTATGCAATAGAAATAATTGATTAAAAAATCAGAGCTTAAAGACAGATTTTTTGCAAGTACCTCGAATTTATACATATTTTCTTTTTTTCATATTACTGAATAACTATAGATAGCCTTTCATGAGATGCCTAGCTGGTACTGAAAAAAACTCAAGTTAGTAGTGAACTTTTTGCTCGATGGCCATTTGTCACAGAGAAAGAAACAATCATAGCTGATTGCTCAGCCTTAACAAAAGCAAAAAACCGGATGTCTCAGGAGACAGTTTGTACTGGGTAGGAAAATAGTGAAGAACAAATGCCAAATATTCGTTTCTACTGGATCCATATTTCCAGATATATTAATACAATACTCCTATTCTTACCATTTGATCTGATTTGCTTTTCTCGATAGTGCGATGATAGATCATATTGTCCGTTTTCACAGGTAGGAACTAACCAGGGTGGATTATGGGCCCTCCCCCACACACGCACCCACATATAGATGCTCTGACTCTCAAAAACTATTTAAACAAAGACAAACCCAACAGTAACTGTTGCAACATATCCCCAAAATAGTAGTCACGCAACAAGAGCTAACAGTTGATTATTTCTTTGGAAGATTTGCAGCAATTTCTAATTTCAGTTTTAATCAATGTTCTTTCAAACTTTGACACAACTGTAGAAAGTAGCATTTTCGATCAGACCCCTTTATATATCAGCCTAACAGACTACCAGTAAATATGTGCCGCCCATCACCACACACATGCGAGTGCGCACGAGCACACATAATCCGGCCCTGTTGTACAATATCGATCTTGCAAATATTTTCACATATTTTCCCTACATTCTTGTATAAAGTATGTCACCAGGAAGAAATTTAGATTTGATTTCTAACATCATACTTACAATAGATCTAAATTCTGCTCCAGACGAAAGGATTAAGCTGCAAGAAAAACGAAAACCAAGCTAAATAGAACACCAGCCGGTGTCGCGTGATTATCACACAAACGTGATCAGGGTCATGTTTGTCATAAAATTATTTTGTTCAAACCTTGACCGTTTCTTTTATTTATCAACGAATTACTTTGTAAATCTGTAAGAACTGAGGTAATGAAGACTTTAAAGAGGACATATTTGAACAATTTTCCAAAGATTGCTTATTCAATTTAATGTAGACCCTTATATAAGAAGGGTTTTGCAGACAACAAGCACTTCCGGTGTGATTTAGTAAAAATTAAAAGCGAACGGTTTTCTTGTGATAAAGTTAGAACGTGTAACATTAATTACATTTTCTGTCTATTTATTTTGATCTAGTCAGTCACGCAGGATCCTTTTTGCGATTTGGAAAATATCTATTCAGCAAGAAAATAAAAAAATGTCAAAAATTGCCGAATTTAGGTAGACAGTTACTGGGGGCATATTATACAAAACATACAATTTTGTTAACATAACAGTGATGTTTTTATTATGCATATTTGAGAACCAAGAGTATAATTATGTAACGATTTCTAGATAGTACATTGATTTAATTCCAAGGTAGTTTGCAACTTCAGACCCTGAAAATCTTATGGTAATATATACATGTATGTAACGATTCGCTTCACTCATAGGGCGCCTGTCATACCAGAATGTATAGTAATCATTGTATACACACGCGCGCACATTCACGCACGCACGCACGAGCAAGCAAGCAAACAAACAAACAAACAAACAAATCTCATATTCGCTTTATACTGTAACATGTGTAGCAATCGAATATAAGTGAAAAAATTGGGTTTAAATGTAGATATGTTGTACAAATATTCAAGACATGTATTCCCTTGGAAGGGCTTAAACTGATGTTCCAGACCTATTTGCTTTTTGTTATATAATTGTCATTTGTATAATATTTGATTTTATGCAATGAAATACATGTATGCTTAAAATATGTTTAGTATTAAAAAAAAAAAACATATTCATATAATTTTTTTTATCTAAAAGATATTGTGATTGATTCATCGTATACATGTATACATTTGTTGCCGGTAAAGTATCTAAGCGACTAGGCATATAGTGTTAAACTTTGAAAACGGATGTTTCCTTTTGCAGCGACACCAGTGTCAAAGTTGCTCATCCTATACTTACTTTCCTTTAATTGATTTACGGACACTTGAAATTTAATTGTCCACTTTCCGAAGTCGTTTTACTTTGTTATAGTCAGATGTCCTTTGACTTGCTTTATAAATTAATTATGTTTTCGGATAAGTAAACTTTAAGTAAATTGATGGAACCTACAATGTAAGTAAATTATGTACTCTTTAAGGAGACAACCATTGATTGTTTGTTTGTTTTTGGTAGTGTTTAAAATTACTGATTAACATACTAAAACAAATAATAATACAACTTAATCTGAAATTTCTAAAAACAAGACGGAAGAACTTATAAATATAAAATATATAGAGAATAAAATTTGTTTGTTTTGTTTTTGTAAAGGCCCAATATGCTTCAAAAATGTTTTTGTTTTTATTTCACAAAAGTTTTTTTTTTTGTGTGTACTTTTTTAATTTAATGAGTTTTAAAGGTTTCTAAAAGTTACTCATTGGCAATTTATCTGAATAATCATTTTCCCAGTAAGTACATGTACATATATTGTGATTTAGTATTTTGTATAAAAGTCAAAATACTTTTTTCGCTTTAAGATAATATCACAAGTAGGGGTAACGAACATCTTTCACACTCTAAAACCATTATTTAAATGTTATTTTCACTGATGTTTGTCCTTTTTAAAGGAGTAAACATTTATTCGTTTCCGAGTAAACATGTGCCTTTGAAAAGGGTAGGTTGCTGATCCGATGCCTGATACTGTTCTGTAGAAAAAGGGGTTACATCCGGCCCTTTAACTTTAATACTATACATACTGTATGCAAATTCAATTCGTAAGAAATAACAATACTTATTTTAAAAAATACAACAACAAAAAGAAGAGTAAATTAATTGCATCACATGAAGTTCATGACAATAAATTGTGTGGGGTTTTGAAAAACACGAGCTAATCATAACTTTACGTTAACTAAATGTCATGAGAAAAAAGAAAAAAATCATTTTATATTAAATTTAACAGCCAAGTTTATTATAATTTAATTTCAATAGCCCTAAATGTGAATGTGCACAAAGTCAAGAGCAACCCAAGTAGCCTACATCCTGCCATCTCGATTTTTATCCGTTGAATGCAGTACAAACTATCATAAAGTTGTTGAAACCTTCTAGCAATAATATCAAGATGGTATAACTATGCAAGCAATATTTAATCTTTGTCATACATGTACCAACATTATATCAATATATATCAATTTGAAGCGATTGTATTACTAAATGTAGGAAGTAATGGACAATGTACATGTGAATGTCAATCTCGTTTGACTGGCAGTTATGCATGCTCCATTTGCTATACCTGTACTTATAGCATTCTGACAAACTTTGCAATGAACATAACACCGATTGTCCACGGCTTATAGGGACAGCAATCATACAGTCTATGGTACAAGCATCCGACAATTTGCACAGTTATTAAAGAGGTAAACATGTACCAATTCGCTAATTATGTTATTATCTAACTTGCATCTAAACATTATCTTATTGTGATTTTCTTCCGCAGGTGGCGACTACTAGCAGCCAGTCAGGAGTTCTTGTGTACTTTGGGGCTAGTTATGCTAACTTTGAATAACGTCTGTTCCTCTGAAAAAACACTGAATGATCAGGAAATATTTATCGCAGAAAACGATGACGTAAAGGGTCTGGCAGTTTCGCAAACAGGAAATGTACTTGTTGCTACAGGCAATGCAATCTATCAATATAGACATAATAGTATTTCATTCGATGATTTAGTCTCTGAGATAGATATAGTTGAGGATATTTCAATATTTACACTATTTGACTATCAGGGAGGTGAATATTTAATTCGCTGCAACGACACGGCATGTTTCGTACACAATGCTTCAAACATACAGCAACTTTGGCTGACGCAGCCGTTAGACAACCCTGCAGCGTTCGGTCACTCGCTGGGCGGCGATTTTTCAGCACATGTCGTCTTTATGCCCTGCAAAGGAAGATATTGTAATCTTTACTCGGCAATTAGCGGAAGCAGGGGAACTGAAACATTTTCTGAGAGAACATTTCAATTAAAAGACAACGTTTTTCATTTCGACCATGGTCAGCATAATCGAAGTCGCTACATCAAGTCTAAACGTGGTACGAGATTTGAATTTATATATGCATTCTATTCCAATAGCTCTGCATACTTTTTAAGGAATACACTTTCGGAGGATGGAAAGAAGATAGCATATATTAGCCAAATGTGCAGAAACGACCGATATTTCAGGTCGTACATGGAGAGCAAGCTTGAATGTAACGGTTACACAACACTGATTGCAGCACAATTTGTCAAAACAGGACAGACTGCTTTCCTAATAGCGTCGTTTAGTGGAACGCAGTCAAAGTATTCTGGATCTATCATGTGTAAGTTTCCAATTGGCTTGGTAGAAAAATACTTCATAGATGAGCAAGAGGCATGTTTTAGGGGTAGAAACGGCACGTTTCCAAGTTGGATTAATGGCTCTGAATCTTCATGCACCGAATCACTGGTAATGTTTAATTATTATTATTTTTATTTAATTATTAGGTTCTAAAAAGGTTTTTGTTAACATTCATTGTCGCCGTTCATGGACGGTGGCATATACAATTAACACGAATTGACCATTTCTATCCGAAAACCGCCTGTCCTAAGCCAATAAGAATAGAGAATTTAATATCACATGATTAAAAAAACGACAAAAAGGGAGGCCCACGAGGCAGCCATCCGCCATGTTTTTGTCGAGTTACCTATAGAATTCATGTTCCAAGCTTGGCTTCTGTGTAGTAAACAGTATTCGGAATAATTCTCATAAATGAAGAAACATTAGCTGTATTTATCAGGTAGGAGTCTATGTCACGAAAAAAATATTTGTCGAATACTATATACCTCCTACCATTTTTTGGACGTGCAAATACTTGTTTGATCACAATGGAACAGTTAGCATGTGCATGTACACAATAATATCATCATTATCACATATGCATAAAGCGAATTGTACAAGTGAATGTAATGGTACCGTATACTGTCCTTTTTATTTGTTAACAGGATGATACATAATTTATAAATAAGATGTACTGCAGCTGTAGTTTTCTCTACTGATATACTAAAAGCCACATTATGACTCGGGAACGATTTTTTTCTTTGTAGAAAGGGCAAACATGATATGTTTTAAAATGTTGTAATAATGGATTGTGAACATGTAAGATGCTTATCAACAGAAGAAAAAACGTTCTGAATGTGAAATTATTTGTGATAAAGTAGCAAAATGCCAACAGAGTAGTACGAATATTTTGACTTGCTTGCGAAACATACTACTAAATCATTATTCTGAGTGTACTTATTGCTTTAAATAATTCGACCATCAACCGTTTCAATCGGATCTTTCCGGCCCTTCCCGTGCAATTTCGTATAAGAAGATATAATTGATGATAATAATAGCCGAGATGTTCCGATTGCAACCGTTTATTAACTCGAATTTTAATTCTAATAATATTTGTTCTGAAGTTGTAAGCATTTATTATTGTTTCAGCCCAACAAGTTGATAATATGTGGCTATACGGATAAAAATAGAAGAATCTTATTTGATGGCTCTCTTATGAATGAAAATAACAAAGATTCTTTCCGTCTCTCTATACATGAAGAGGAAATTACGTCGTTTCTGATGTTGCCATTTGAACACTCATTTCTTGGCTATATTGGAACAGACACTGGCTTTCTGGAAAAGGTTAGAACAACTGAGCAGTGCATGATCATACATTCTTACACAACCCGCATTTTTCTCTATTGATAAAGAACAACCGAAAGTGTTTGTTATTTAAGAAATAATATATCCCAAACAGTGATGTTATCGCTCAATAACATCACTGTTTGGAGTTCGGATGCGAGGAATTATATCACGAGGGCGCATCCGAACGATACTGTTGCCGTTCTATATTTAGATTTGTGACGTCATCATTATACACGTGACGTAACCACTAAAAAATCTGACGCGCTGAAAAAAAGTACGAAAACAAATCAAGTGCAATTTCGCTTAATATCAGGTACGGCACCCTTTATATATCGATGTCGTGTTAGAAGCGAAATAATATATCCAAATCGGTGATTTTATCGCTGGATAACATCACTGTTTGTCGTTCGGATGCTACGCCCTCGTGATATAATTCCTCGCATCCGAACTCCAAACAGTGATGTTGTTGAGCGATAAAATCACTGTTTAAGATATATTATTTCTTAAATATCATATCAAAGATGGGAGTAAATATCAACATTTATTTTTTCACATATCGACAAATACTTACCCATTAGTATTTTTCTTTTTATATTTTTCTTGCTCCCGAACACCATAATTAGAGTGGAACATTTTTTCCATATTTTTTTGTTCATTTCCACCTTAATTGATTACTATAATAGATATCCATTTTGTAGATGCATATGTTGGCATGATTCAGACATGTGTTTTTAAATGTCTATATTTACAAAAATTTGTAAGTTTATACAAATTTCTTTTAGTTCGATTATGTTGAGAGCTATAGGCATATTAAAACACTCTCGAATCCGTGCCTGGAACCAACCAGTAGTTAGCAATGAAAGAAACAACGGCTTGCCCCTGACAGGGTTTGAACCCACGCGGTCAGTAATCCTTAGAATAATAGTCCGACGCGTTTACCACTCGGTCACGCCGCCATTTGTTGAGAATGGCCGTAAAATTTATTTGTCTTCGGATCTTTAGATTTCCGATATCTCATTGTTTAACAGGTTTTGTTTTATCCATCGTTTGGTAAATCAATAACGGTGTTTCGATCACCTGTATCGAAGGACCATGGTCGTATAAGGAGTTTGACTCTAAGCGAGGAGAAGAACAATCTATTCTTTATTGAAGAACAAAAAGTATGTATTACGAATCAGACTCTTAATTTGTACTGCATTCATTAATGGTGTTTATTTTTATTGTGTCGCCTCAACGCTGTAGTGGCGACATATAGGGATCACTTCTCCGTCGTCTGTCTGTCTGTCCGTCTGTCACAAAACTTGTCCGGACTACTCCTCATAAAGTACTTGTGCACTTTCATCAATTTTACATGAATGATCAGTACCAGATCTAGTTGTGTATATCGTCAGCATTTTCCCTTTAATGAGTTATGGCCCTTGAATAATTTTTATTTTTAAGGTTTGACCGGACTACTTCTCTTATACCACTAATGCAATTTCAATGAAACTTTACAGGATTGATTGATAGGTCAAGTACTTGTGCATAATACTCAAGTTTTTCGCTTGACTGATTTTTAGCTGGGTTATTGCCCTTGAATAAAAAAGTGTTTTGCCCTGTTAATGGTTTTTGGGTCTCTTGCTTCACAGTAGCTGCAACATGCGATTGGCTATCATGAGGCAACACATGTCATCACAGATGACCCTTCTACATGTACATTTTGTTTATAACACTGTATCAGTGTAACAGTTTATAAGTATATGTGCAATAAATCTCTAATATAGAATGTTAGCTGTGTTATAAATGCGTTTAAAAAATATCTGACAGGTTATATGGTCGTATACAGACGCTTGCATGCATATAAAACACGTGCCACTAGGCGCCATATTGGGCCATAAAAGATTTCAGAAATATATTACAAATCATATATTGGTTTCCTCTTCGTTTGTTTTCTTAAGATTAAGAAGATTTCCACCAAAACTTATTCATTGTTTTAAACAGATAAGTGCAAATAAGGAATATATTGGGTTTAATTGTTTCAAACAATAAGATTTGGTTTGTGGTCAAGTACCATTCATTATTACCATTAAGAATTATTGAACATTCTCAAAGGAGGAAAGAAAAGTGCTTAGATATAAAGAAAATTGTATATTAGTTTATATAGGTGTGCACTTAAAATTTCATTAAAATTTACGTGGGATATTGTTATACCATTTCACTTTTAGTACATATGTACTTCATTTATTAAACTTGTATTCTACGATATTTCAGACAAAGTCTCACTTATATATGATTAAAACAAATGAATGCGGGGTGCATATCAATTGTTACAGCTGCCTGACAGACGTGCTGTCCTGTGTGTGGCTCCAGCGCACCGCCATGTGTGTATCGAGAGACAACAAGACAGAAACATTGGCCTTTGAACATTATTGCCCACCAGTGGTAGATAACTCTATACTGTTATATACCTCAACGGAATAATAATAATAATAATAATAATAATAATAATGATAATAATAATAATAATAATAATAATAATAATTAATAATATCTATATTTAGAGAAGGTAACACATGAAGATACACCATCGTAAAACACAAATAACTATGTTAATTTTAATTAAATGTGGCCTTCTAAACAATTTATAAAAATACACACACAAAACAACATCATCAAACAATAACAACTATTCCATTTGTCAATTAAGACAAACATAATTTGACTGCTTTGACAAACGCTCCTTTACTAAAAAAAGTTAATGATTTGCTAAAAATAATTAAAACAAATTTTGAAACAATAATTATACGTTTACTCTTTTTAGGTATATTTTCAAAATGATATGACTGTAATAGTGTGTTATGGCCTTTATACTGTACATAATTATATTGCATTATAAACATTTATTCTACAAACCTTCATTACAAGGTTGATGGCGTAAGTCCGCTTAAGGGGCCGACAGAGGGAGGCACGGTGCTAACTCTGACAGGTTTGATGGACAACCCAGCATCATATGATTCTCCAAATCAAGAAACACGACTACATGTTAGTGTCATGGTTGGCGAAATACCATGCAATGTCAGCAACGTTGCACAATTTCCTAAACGGTACCTTAAAATTTTACTTGATATAATTGCTTTAAAGGGACTACACTGTTTTTTTGTTGTTTTTTTTGTTTGTTTCTTTTTTTGTTTGTTTTTTTTTTTTTTTTTTTTTTTTTTTTTTTGTTGTTTTTTTTTTTTTTGGATTTTTTTTTATTTGACATAACGGGACAAGAAATATTTTTTCGAGATTTATGTTGGATCTAGACCAATAGCTTGTGTGCAAAATTTCAGATCATTTGCTTACTCCATTTTTTCCAGAATAATTTTTCTCATTATGAAAAATGGCCCAAAATTGAAAAGCGTTGCAACGTTTTCCCCTTAAAACGGACTAAGAATAGAACAATAAAAAACAATTTTCAATTCATTTCTGAACATTTTTTCTTAATTATCTTTTGTTTATCTTTCTGCTTTAAAAGATCCGGCTGATCTGTGTAAGAATTCCAAATTTTATTTTTTATGCGTTTGAAAATCAGTGGAGTTCCTTCAATATGAAATATGTTATAGATTCAAAGTTTATATTTAACAGTTCTGATTTCTACTTCGCAAAACTATCTAGAGTGTTCAAGTTAAAGTTCAATTAAGATGTAACATGGCTTGTTATCGCGAGACAGTGTACTAATTGAATGGCTTGAAAATACGGAATTCCATAAACGACAGCCTACTGCTCACTGCCTACTGCTAACTGGACAGCCTGCTGCTCACTGCCTACTGCTAACTGCTTATTGACAGTCTAAGTCTATGTATGGATCAAATAGAAGTATTTCGAATGTACACACATGTGCACCCGCCATTTTTTTGAAAAAACATCTGCTGGGAAAACAATGGTAAGTAAATTAAAAAGGATTATTTTATAATTAAGCCTAATAATTTGTAATTTCGAATTCATTGCAATGACTTGTGTATGTCCCACCATTGCACACTGCATTGATTATGTTATGAAATGGTTCCACGTGCCTCTTGCACAGGTGATTGATAAATTGTCAAATATAGGACTCATTTTAGGGTAAATCAACTTAATAATAACTTATTCACAAAGAATCTGTGTTCAACAATCAACATGGATGGGCTTGAGCCCACCACTATTCCTCGGTTGAGAGGCGGAGATCTGGACCATTATGTCAACACTCCCTTATTTTATTTAGAATTTCATAGTTTATTAAACTTTCATTTGACAATGTAATACATTTCTAGAAGAATATCTGTAATATACTGGTGAAATCACTGGTGAAATTTAGGCTAAACATTCTCTCATAATCAAAAATGTGTGAGTTCATTTACGAGATCATTTAGGTTCAGTTTTCATTGGCTGTTAGTTATAGCTTATAAATGTGTAATTCCTTATTAGATGTTATGTAATGCATTTTTGTTAAGTTGATTGCACTCTTGATAGTTTATGTTGCAAAGATATGTCCTTGAAGGTTAATAATACAATTGTAGAATCAATTTTATTCTAGTACTGATGATGATAAATCTGACAGAAACATTTCAATGGAGGAACAGCCTATACTTTCATTGACTTCACAGACAAGTAACAGAACCAATACACCTGAAAATATTGAAATTACAATGGAAGAGGAAAAGACTACATAAATGTATTGGTTCTTATAGGCGAGTTTAACTCGGCTTCCTTCTGAAAGCATAAACAAAGACAAACTTGGCTGTTGCAAAAACGTTCAATATTTCAATGGCATAAAGAGTGCAAACATGAAGTGATAAATTACAGTTTGGACCAGCTTATTTTACTTTTATGAAAAGCCATCGTTATTATCTTGTTTAAATTCAATTGTGCTATTAAAAAACTATGAGAAATAATAGATTCTTAACTATTTAAATTTACTTAAAATTTCTGATAGACAAAATGATCATGACATGATAGACAATATATTTTTTGACGAGTTTGTTTAAAATCCATCTTTTATATAATTTTTATAATTATCTTGTTAACAAACACACTTAAAAATGAAATTTTATGTTGTTTATTTTTTCTATTTCTTTTTGCAATTACCGCAAGTAAAACCAATCAGCAAATCTGCCTTCGTATTTGCCAGAATCATCCAATGAAAGTCATTACTATTTATATCGGGGTTCTAGAGGTTTGACAAGTTCAATTGACAAGACAATAGTAAACAGTTCTAAGACATCGTGATAGTGTAGAGCTTCTATGATAATTATGATATGAAGCATTTTTAAGTTACCTTTCTTACAACGTGTATATCACTTTACATTGCAGAGTATATTTACATTAATATAATTTCATAACAACTACATGTATATAACTCATAACAGAATATAATTAATTATATTAATTGCTTTCCTCGAAACTTTACAAATATTTTATATAGATTTTGATTTTTTACAGGCGTGTCATAATTTTTATTTTAAATAACGTTGTATACAGGAAAATATTAGCTTACTGGTCTCATTATTGGGGCTAAACATACTTTTTATGTGGTGTTATAATCAATAAGTGTATTTTGTTTTCGTTTTAATTGTAAATAAAAAAGTTCTTTAAAAATAAAATATCATAATTTTCTTGTAATTTTGTTTATGTTTAGCTCCCCGGAAAACAAAATTATGACAAAATGAATTGAAAATGGTTATATATATGTTAACCATAAAGCAAAGTTTGTTTGTTGAATGTTGTAACATGACCAATTTGAAAAAACAATATTCAACATTGTCCACATTTAACCCATTACTTCATGAGCATTTTGTGAAAAATGGCTGTTTTCATTGAAAAGTCTCCCTTTACAAGTTCAAATTGCTATAAAACTATAAAAACTGCTTCAATACTAATCAAACTTGGCACAAATGTTGACTGGACCATTGCCTTTGTAACAACATGCCCAGGCTTAAATTTCCTGTTACCATGGCAACGAGGGGACATCTCAAAATTGCCAAAAATCACTATTTTGCGTTGATTTTTTCCATCAAAATTGATTTCAAAATGCTGCAACTTCTAAATGGATTGAGATAGAGTCAAATGCTTTTCAGCGTTGGTTACACGTTACCTTATGATCGATCTGGGGTCATTTTTAGCCTCTCAAAAGTCCAAAATTTTCTTGTGCCTCCTTCTGGCAACCCCCTGATGTATCTTTTGGTTGGGGGCCGCGCCGAAAATGTGGTCACTTTTTTAAACAGCATTTCTCAAACAAAAACAAGTGTTGGGGGCCTAAATAAGGCATTTTTTCACCATTTGAGACAACAAAAAAGGGGGTGAAAAAGGCGTTAAAAGGCGTGTATATCGGGTAATGGGTTAAACAGTGTCTTAGTCCATCAATTTTAAATGGATTGGATCGCGAAAAGTATGTATTAGGAAGATGAAGATTACGTTATGTCATTAGCTCCATAAGAAATACATCTGAAGCTTCAATATCTGGCAAATTAACTGAATATATTTCTTCAAAACAGCTTTTTAAGTTAACCTAAACACTCTTTTCTTAAGGCAATGAAATAAAAAGACGGCCGTCCAGCAATATATTGATTAATCTGTTTTCTATCATGTGGTTTTAATGTCTTTATCATAAGTTATAAAAATCAGAATGTAACACAGGCAATACTGCAAAAACTAAGAAATTACATGCGGAAGGCATTACAGTGACTCAAATTTAGTATACCGCAGTTCATCATATCGATAAACAAATACTAACAACACTTTGTATTAATAATGCCCAAGTAACTCAAAAGATCTTTCAATGATTTTATTATGCATCGACTTTCCAATTATAACACAATAATTGACATGTTACTCATCATGCTTTTTTAACATCTACTAAATTAACATTTTCTTGAGACAAATCTAAGGCTTTGTAGAATTAAGGTACAAATGTACGGTCTACAATCAAAAGAACAAGTATTAACTTTTTAGATAGAACTAAACGGTTCATGAAGTGTGTATACTCTCCCAGTACGTTTAACGTTTATCAGAATAAACTACTGGTAATCCGAGACGTGACTGGTATATATATTTTTTTCTGAAAATCTATATATCTATGTTTTGAGAACCATTACCTAGATTATTTTTTATCAAAACATCATAGCATTATTTTCAAAATGCGAACTTAAAACTGACCAGTGTGATTTAAATGTAAAAACAAAGACGTTCATGACATTACAAGGCCTCCGTTTAAAAATACCATTAAGCTCTATAGTTATAGGGTAGGGTCAATATCATTTAATGAACAAATATTATAATATACATGTTATATGGTAGATGTATCTAATTAAGCAAGCAGTTATATTTGGTTGCTCAAAATAACCGAACAAGATTTAATGACAGAAAAAAAATGTAATATTTGGTTAGTTTAACATTTCTATAAAGTTCACAGGTCTATAATTTGGAAAAGTTCCAGATGCCTGCAAAGATATATACTTATTTTTTTGCTTAGTAAAACGAGAATTATAAATGTACATGTATAAATGTTACAAGTTCCAAGGTTTCAATCAAAGTCTTCATAAATGATACTGAGTAATTCCTTGACCAATACTGTTTCAAACGGCCTCATTGTAACATATAAACAAATTAGAAGAAGGACATAAAAAGTCAACATTTACTTTCAGGCAATTAATCGAGTATTAGACAGGTGAAGCAGTAGGCATTAATCAATGAACAGTAAGCATTTAACAGTCGCTGTAAGCATTAAGCAGTTTAAAGTAAGCAGTTGACAGTAGGCAGTTGACAGTAGGCAGTTGATAGTAGGCAGTTGACAGTAAACAGTAGGCTGTCGTTTATGGAATTCCGTATGTAAAGCCTGCGTCACATTACTCTCCGGTTAGGTTTACGATGGGGTACCGATGTCTGAACGGGCTGAACAGGCCAATTTTTTAAAAGGTTTCCGGCCGGTGACCCTCCGGTGTCAAGTGACCGGTGGGGCACCGTACGGGTAATCGGAGAATTTTAGTGCCGAGCTATTTTCTTCCGGCATCCGGTATATCGCCAGCTCACCGTAGCAGACACGGTAAAATACCCTCCGATACCCGGCCGGGCACCTTTTGTTATCGGTAACATACCGGTTAAAATGTTCACCTCCAGGGCCGCCAAATATTCCTCCAGATTCCAAGCGTTGTTTTTAAGATGTCAATATTTGTATATTTCATTTCAGTTAGCAACGCTATTTTATGTTTGAATTTTTAAGATTATGAAAAATAATTGTGGTCCATAATTGTTCAATAATTGATTTGCTTTTATATTCCGATTTTAAGGCCATCTCCTACCATAGATATAATATTAAACTGTTACAAATATAGTCGCCGGTTTCTACCGGCGACTAATTATACCTATGATAGGAGAAGCCCATAAAATCTGAAAATAAAAGCATACCAATTATTGAACAATTAAAATCCACAATTATTTTTCAGTAATCTCAAAAATTCAAACATATGATAACTTTGCTCAATGAAATGAAATATACACATATTGACATCTTAAAAAGCAACATTACAATTTTCATAACATGAATCAGTAATGTATCCCTAGGGATCAGCCATTGAATGTAGGGATACTTTTACTTTTTCCTTTGTGTTAAAGGGAGACACAGGCAAAATTTTCATTCCTTAGTTTTGAAATTTTCATTCATTATTCTGTAAATGTCCCCAAAATGAATACACTAAACAGTCAAAGGAACAAAACTTTTCTCCATATAAAGAATAAAATGGTGTTTTCCTAACTTGACCCGCGTGGGTCAGGTTAGAGCGCTAATATTTCACAATAGTTGTCACTGTGTACTCTGGAAACGTTAAAAAAACATGTCAAATCAATTACTTAGACTTGTTTCAATCATACAATATCCACAATACCTGTTATTGTAACTTCCAGGGTTTGTTCAAATCGCAGGACTTGTTTTTAAACTATTTGGTGATTCTGTTGGCGTCAAATTTTCGTTCAACATATATAGATGTATTTAAACTTCAAACCAAAATATATAGAATTATAAAGAAATTCATGCTGGGACTTTAAGAAATGTCATTTTAGGGTGATTTGAGTACAGAAAATCATTTTTTATATTTTTGTCATTATTTTGCCTGAGTACCCCTTTAAGCGTTGCTATTTTATGATATATAAATCATGAATGATATTTGAAATGACACTTTTAAATTATTTGGTTGTTTATATTTTATGAGACCTATTATATTTCATTATTTCATCTAATTATAAACAAATCCTCCCTGTTCTTTTGTAAGAATCACGTGACTACACGTTGTATGTTATCGTTATAGAATCTATTAATGGTAACAGATTGCTGATAAGACATACAGGTAACTTATTAATGGTTGGCAAAAAGTATGGCGGCTGATATGATGCAAACCATTGTAATTTTGTATAAATAATTACAAAGTTATTTTTCATTAATCAGTTTCATATTTTATATCATTAGAAACCTGTGTACTCATATTTTACACATTAAAATAGATTTTCAAAACTTTTTCCTTTTTTCTTGGTAAAGGGTTAAACTTGGCCCTTTATGTCAAACTTTTGAATAGTTTAGTTTAGGTTAACTATGACAAAATAATTTTATGCTTAAGAGGCACATTATTGAAATCGTGAAAACTAATAAACTATCTTTGTGTTGATAGTTTATCGCACTTAAAGGCAATTAAACGTTAATTATCATGAACATAAGAAAATATCAGTTTAATGGTTCAAGTATTAAGAAAAGAGGAACAATATGTTGAGTAATGTTTGCCACAGAAGGTTGTAAGGCAAGTGATATGCTGGTTATTCTACTTGTAATTGTACTTTATACATATACTGTTGTACCATACATTGAAATCCGTATGGGTTACTAGTTCAGAATCCGATATTTACCGACAAATAATTACCCATCATCCAATATTTGCGAAGTGACTATGAAAATATGTATGTTTAATTATTGCACGAAACAATGCAATTCTACTGTAAAAGTGTTGTCCATCATTATTATGCGCTATCGAAAAAATATATAATTTAGTTGAAATCAATACATGTATTACCATCGTTACATACGATATAATACAATCATTTTTCTATCCGGCGACTTGATGCTTTAGCATCCAAATCTCTACTTATATACTGTGAGATTTCTAATGGTCAGAAATTGATCGATGTTTCTTACTTGTAATCTAAGAAAATATAAGAAAATAATAAACAAAGTCTATCAACATTACTGTGATCTATGATAATAAATGATCTTTTTTTCTTTGACAATTCCACTGAATTATACTATAGCAGTTGAAAGAAAAAGCGAGTTTTACTGAAATGTGTCTGACTGGTTGCTGATATTTTCAACTAGTCTTAGCTATTTCTAGAATAAGATTCTAATTAAAGCAGTCTTTACAAATATTATGCCGATGCGCATCCTTATTATACAGTTGATCCAGAAATAATTAAATTTAACAAAATCAGCGCTAGACGGAAAATTTATGGCTATGAGATGTTTAAAATATACTCATTAGAAAAGCATACTATATTATGTCCTCAAATATTTATGCAGCCTGATGACTATGTATGACACGTTGCAGTAAACTTTGTGGTAGAGATTTTCATTATACCGGAATCAACACGAACGCTTTAAGCACACTGGCACCGTCAATGACTATGTGATAAGGTGACTTTCCTGGGTGACCTCCGGTGCCCGGATATGTCGTTCATCTTGACAGAACATTTGGCGGAAGTCACCTTGGTGCTTTAAATAACAGTTGATCTGAAATAAATTATCAATTATTCACCTGCACAATGGGAAAAGTATATTTCTAAAATTAAAATTCGTATCCGTAAATAATTTATGATGCATCATTACATTGACGGGAATTAACGTATCTGTCCCCTATGATTTTACTTGTGATTATGCAATTTAGGAAATTTCAGCATCAAAAGAACAAACTTGAGTAGTATAATAGGAAAACGTGTACTATCTTGCCATGAAACAAACGCTTATTTTTAAATTTGTTGTTGTTGTTTTTTCTGTCATACAGCCTGGAATGCACCATTTCAAATACGTCGTCTGAAGGATCTCTTAACATTTCTCTTGAAATGAAAAATAACGGGACAAATGGAGACATGTTCCAGTTGAAAAAATCGCGGGGACTTGTTCTTTACAAACAGAATTTCGTCTTTGTGGTAAGGCTAAATTTGTTTTCTTTGTGTTCAATGACTGATATTCAGTAAAAAATATGTTTGTTTTCCCAAAATGTATCATGTTCTATGTTTTAACCCTGAAGTATACGTATGTACAGTGATGTATTAAAGAAAAATACCTTTTATACAAAATATATAGTACATCAATTTATTGTATGCCATTATCGGCCTTAGAAAAGGCAAACATGAGTTTGATAGGTTTATTTAATGGTTTTAGACTACGAGCATGTTAGATGCTTATCACCTGCAGAAAGTAACGCTGCATGTGAAATTATTTGTCGTGAAAGGAGAAAAAAATGTAAAAAGTAGTATTTTGACTCATACAAAATACTTAATCACTATAAGTGTACTTATTCCCAATAATTAAAAGTAACAAAAGCAAAAGATGGGTCAAGTTTTATAGCAACTGAATTACTTTTTGGAAACTTTAACAGGACATCAAATTCAAATATTTAAAGCTTCAATGAGAAATAAAAAGGAAGTTATTTCTTTCGAGAGCATAATGGACCTGTAAAAATAAGACTGTATGAAAAGAAACAAAAAATATCAACTTTGCACTATACTAATATAAGCTTGCCAGTTAAGGTTATCTCGTTCTCATGCTTTTTGTGTTTATCCGAGTGTACCGGTCAATTTTCAGAGTGTATATAAGAGGAATATAACATACCATAATAACCTACTGTGTACTACAAAATGATAAATAAAAATTACCCGAAGAGCTTGATTTATTGACGGAAAAGGTTATTTCGTTTGAAAATGTTTGCATTGCGAAAATCTCCAGTTTGCTATTCATTGTACATATCTTTAATTAATAATCAAGCACCCCCATACCGATCGGAAAGATCGGCTTTTATTATGACCGACTAAAAGGCTCGAGAAGTTGCTGTCGCCCTTTCTCATTCCATATGGGGCGCCGCGCTTCGGCGCGGACGCCATAAATTACGGTTTGGTTCGGGCGCTAACTATTGTCGGCCGTAGGTACGGTGCAAAGGTGACATGTGTGTGTTTTTTTTATCTCGTGCGCCCGAGTTACAATGTCGTGGTCACGAGATACTTAGTCCTGGCCACGAGATAGCTAAGTTATGACAACGAGATAATATGTCGTGGCCACGAGTTATAGAGTCGTGGCTACGAGATAGCTAAGTCGTGACCACGAGATAGTATGTCGTGGCCACGAGATACTTTGTCATGGCCACGAGTTACTAAGTCGTGGCCACGAGATAAATAACCAATCAGATTACACCATTTATATGAATTTACCTTGTTAACTAGACATGTGCTATAGTACAAGGATGCCCCTATTTCACCAGCCTGTAAAAGTGCCATTTATACAACTTATTGACTGGTCAATAATTTTACATTTAGCGTCACAGTGACCCTAATTTTTGTCCCAATGACTTCGAAATTATTAGATGTCATCTACTGATCAGGTGCAATGATCTTTCTGGGTTATATAAACAATGGCTTACCCCTTCTAAATTATTCATCAGACAAGGATTTATACCTTATAGGCTATCTACTGTCCATGAACAAAGTCCCTCCCAAATAACATAAACCAGGACTATTCCTTTTCATGTTATCGTATAAACAAGGTTTACAGGCCGTCGTACGTACAAACTGACCAATTTGATCACAAAATTGTCCCAACAAAGGGCTATAGTCAAAATTAATGTTTGATGGGCCTTGGAAGGTTACTTTCTAATATGATCCTAAAGACAAGTTCAAAGTGAATATCTTCAGTATTTTCGAAGATTAATGTAGCATGTAAAAGTAAGTTGTTAAGTTTAAAAAATTCATTAATATATATGGTGTATTCTGATTGGTTAATTATCTCGTGGCCACGACTTAGCTATCACGTGGCCACAACTTAGTAACTCATGGCCACGACATAGTACCTCGTGGCCACGACTTAGCTATCTCGTGGCCACAAAATTTTATAACTCGTGGCCACGACATAGTATCTCGTGCGCATGAGATAAATAAAAACACACACATGTCACGTTTGTGCCACCGTACGTAGGGGGTGCATTGCGCATGTCCAGTTTTGGTGCTCATGGTGAGGGTTCGACTAGAATAAATTTGTGATGTCAGTCGAACCCTGCGCATAGCATTTCTATTTCGCCGTTGCCTTACACATAAATACATAGCGTACTGCATGTTAACATGCTAAACTATGATGTTCTTAAATGTCCTTAACATTTTGCAAATTTAAAGCGTCACGGCCAATGCTACGTGAAATAAGTGTTCAAAAATTCAATCTTTAGAAAAATATATTAATAGATAAATATTCGCAGTCCTGGTCAAATTTGAATGAATTTTCGGAAAAAATTGACAGAATTTACTTGTTTTTTTATCACATATATTTTACACTTTAGAGTGTGAGAAATTTCTGCATGTATTAAAGAATTAATAATAATAATAATAATTTTATTCGGTAAAAGTGTACATGACATGGCAATGACATAATGATGCATAATGATACAATACATATAACAATAATCAAAATATGAAAGAGACTAGAATATCACATGACATACGTATACGACAAAATATAAATATATGAGCCATGTAGTGCCCACCAATACCAGGGATAACACAAAAAAGAGGAAATGATTCCTCTTATTTCCATTGTGGTCCCTGACATTGGAGGCATGACACAGAAAGTCACGTTAATTTGCATGAAATTGAAATAAATTCTTCTACTAATAAGGCATAAAATACAATAATTTAGTTGAGATCACAATACATCACAGTCCAAGTTTGTATCACATCAATAAATCAAGAAATAGTGCATCACAGAAATTGTCAATCAAACTGTAAAAATTTAATAAAAATATTTTAAAACGTTAAATGTGCAAGCTAAAAATGGGTAAATTACGAAAGGACACAACATATGTGTGTTGTGCTTAAAATTAAGAATACTCTATTAAGACTATTAAAAGATTCAAATACTATTGAAAAATAAACTAAAATTAACTGGCCATTAAATGGGCTTTGATGGCATGCTTGAAGGTCTGGGAAGATTGAATATTTCTAAGATTTTGAGGAAGGCCGTTCCATAGTGAAAAACCATTAAAAGCAAAAGATTTTCTACCAAAGCTTCCTATCTTTGGTAAAGAAAATCGTTCTGTGTCACTAAAAGAATAGCTTACACAGGAATCTGATGATGAAAGTGCAGACACTCTGGACCTGCTACAGCGGTCATGGACCTGATTAAGGGGTACAAAATGCTCCTTAAGGTATTTTGGGGCTGTGTCTGACTTTATTTTATGGACATGGCAAAGAGTTATCTGATCAACTCTTTTGGAGACCGGTAACCAGTTAAGAACCTTAAATTGCTCTGGCCCAACATGCGACCTGCTGTCCTTATTCAAAACAAAACGAACCAATTTATTCTGGGTTGTTTGGAGCCTTTTCTTCCAATACTGAGTCAAACTTGGGTACCAAAAAGAACAAACATAATCAAAATGGCATTGAATTAAGGACATGACCAAGAGTTTCCTAGTGTGGAGATCCAAGAATTGACTTTTCCTATACAAGTATTTTAGCCGGGCATTTGCTTTCGTAACCACTGATCGTGCAATTTCTTCACAAGAAAGGTTCTGGTCCAAAGTTGCACCGAGATATTTAACTGAGCTGGTAGCCTGGATATTTGTACCATTACATGAAATATTTAAATTACCTTTTGACCTTAACCTTGGTTTTGAACCAAACAGAATAGATTCTGTTTTGCCAAGATGAAGTGAAAGCTTGTTATCGACAAGCCATTCACTTACATACTCCATCTCAAGTGATAAAAGAGATTCAATGTCGGAAGTACTTTTACCACACACAAGAATCCCAGAGTCGTCGGCATACAATAAAAGTTTGTTTCTGACAACAGCCGACAGATCATTAACATAAATTAAAAATAGAAGGGGGCCCAATATTGATCCTTGGGGTACCCCACAAGTGACTGGAGCCTGGCTGGAATAAACACCAGATACCTGAACTAACTGTTGCCTATCTGAAAGATAAGATTGAAACAATCGGACAGCACCAGAACTGAGGCCAATTGCATTCAGTTTCATTAATAAAATACTATGATTGACCGTATCGAACGCTTTCTGCAAATCGAGGAGAACCATTCCCACCATGTTACCTTTATCCATTTGAAATTTTACAAAATCAGATAAATGGATAAGACACGTGTCTGTAGAAAAACCGCGTCTAAAACCGGACTGAAAACTGTATAAAATCTTGTTCTTACTCAAATACCCTTCCATTTGATCATATATGGCCCTTTCAAAAATTTTCGAAAAAAACACACAAAATAGACGCTGGCCGATAATTACCGACTTCGGTTTTATCACTTTTCTTATAAAGAGGGATAACCCGTGCGTTCTTAAGATCATCGGGAACAGAACCCTGAATAATGGAGAGATTGACTATATGAGTCAAAAGACATGCTATAACTGTTGCATTGTAAAGGTATTTCTGTGCATATCAAGTGCGTGAGGCTAGGATAAAAGGCTTTATATTTAAGCGATTTTAAACAAAGTTTTCCTAGAAATTGGCACATCTAGGGGCGTACTGCTTTAAAAACATTGCAGTTACACTGTATTTTAACAGGACCCGATGTTGTATCATGACGGTATTACGGATCACAGTGTTAAACTGTCGGGCAATATACAACTTACCATTCGAGGTGAAAATTTTGACATAGGTAGCAACAGACGACTTCTAATCGGTGACAAGGAATGTCGCATCACAAATCTGGATCAGTAATATAACATTTACATTTATTTTATTTCCCAAACGTACAGTATTGTGGCGGATTTATGCCATGTCGTAGTTCCGACCTTTTTGCCTCGAAAATGCGAAAAAACGAAGTTACGACAATTAAAGTCCAACTAAGAGAAGCGAAATACGACATTGCATAAATCAGCCATCATAATATTGATTTAACTACAAATAAAAACGATATAAAATAAATAAGATGATGCAAACGATAATATTTTCATAAAATTTCTGTTTTGTTTTTGTCTGTTTTTTTTCTGTAAATCAACTGCATTATTTTCAGCAAAGATTTATGCATTTATTAGATCTAGGTCGCAGTTATTGCTTATGAAAATGTACAAGACAAACGATTATATACGGAAATATATAGTAAAAATAAATTCACATTAAGCCTCAGAAATGTTTTTATGCTCCCCGAAAAAAAATAGTCGCCTGGTTGTCCGTCCGTCCGTCAGTACGTACGGACGTACGTCTTGAAGGTCAAGCTCACAGCATGACCTTGAAGCAAAATTGTGTCCGACCCATAACTTTGTTGTTTGAAGTTGTATTTTACAACTATTTCACAGAAATGATCAACATGAGACGACGTGTCGCGCGCAAGTCAGTAGATAGATCTAATTGAGTAGAAGTGCAGTGCAAGGAACAGTAACTCTGCATTGCCTAAGTTTGGAATTATCACACTTTGAACTTTGTCTGGGACATAACTCTGAAACAACAGTAGATATACTTTTCTGTGTCCAAATCCTAGTCGGGGAGCATCACCCGGTTCAACCGGCTTTTGTTTTTCTTTCTGTTGAATTGGCCTACATGGGCCTACAACATTTAAGATGCTTATCACCTTTAGCAATTATCTCTGAATGTGAAATAATTGGTAATTTCAAGCTTTTGAAAAATAAAATTTTCAAGGCTAAATGGGCCTTTAAATGTGATAATCTTCTGTATATTTGAAGGATAAGCAAGAACGAGGTTTCATGCTGTGCGCCGAGTTTTAATACGAACGGAAATTATACCGTAGTTTATGAGGTTGACAATGTACGGGTATACGGACCTAACATAACTTACACACCTGAACCGGAGATCATTGATATCCGCCCTAGCTCTTCTATTGTAAGGTAAATCTTTCCTGTTGCTTCTCAGGTATTGTGGCAATAGAATGAAAACGTGTATTATATCTTATAAGCAATGAGTTATTGTCATCCATAATCCATATAATAAATTATTTATTATATGTATTATGGATGACAATAACTCTCTGCTTTATTATAAATATCACGTTTCATACCTTATGTATACCCATTAAAGTTTCTAATATTTAGATAAAAATCTATCTTTAATTCAATTCCAAGTATATTTCATTATTATCCTTTATATATTTTGCCGTTTAAAGTGTCCCAGTTCTATGAAAGAATTTCAAATGTTATGTTTTTAGGATTTCAGTGGAGCTCCATCAATTTGGTCAAAGAATTACAAAATTTGAACGACATCTCTTTCATGTAAAACAATAATTAAAGACCCTATAACACAATTTTTATGGTTTTATATCATAAATATGATGCTCAAATTAAGAGTTATCAATATTGTAAGTTCCAAAAAGCATTATTTATAAAGATATTACCGAATTTACATTTCATGTTGATAAAGGGAGGTAATTAGAAATTTATTTTCTATAACGTCTAAGTAAAAATTTTCAATAAGAAAATACATATATTTTAATGATAACATATAATGTGGACAAATATTTGCAGTACATATTTTACATATTCTTCGATGTTTAAAAATTGTTTTAGAAGCATAATTATATACATATATAATAATTTCACTGTGTGGTAACAACCTTTAATCTGCTGATTCAGTTACTATAGCGTTCCAGCAATATCTGATATGATAAAAATAAATAATGAAGTCACATATTCGCATATACCTATCAAAATATGAATATGTAGTTTCACTAAAGGCTGATTATGAACCTTTCAGAATAATTTATAACCATGTTCTCATTACTTTCTTCATCTCCTCAGTGGTGGGGTAACACTGACATTGACAGGAAAGTACCTGGAAGGCTTTGGAAGTAAGTGTAAACTTAACCTGGAGAACAACAATAGTACATCTATGGTAAATATAACAATTTCATCTAAAAGTAATTATACATCTGTAATATATCTGAAACTTAGAAAGTACTAAGATATCTTGGTGAAAAATCTGTAATCTTAATATTTACATTAAATATGGCCAATTTCTTCGTTTACATTTAACTTTCCCATATCTTGATCACATAATATAACATAAAATGAGGTGACGTGACGTAACATTTGTAAGGCATAAAATGTTTCAACATTTTATTGCCACTTTTTATGAAAAGTGAAAATACGGAAAATGAAAATACGCATTTTATTTCATCAACATTTCTCATTATTTCATTTATGAGTACATAATACATAACTAGTACATAATATATTACTATACTTGTATATCTGAAGTTTTGAATTTACAGAATGAAAGTTACTGCAAAATTTCTTACGAAAACGACACTGCCTTGATGTTGTGTAAATCTACAGCCCTTGATAGCTGGAATAGCCTCCCATATATAGCAGTACCATCTTTGAATAATACATATGGCAAAGTTATCACAATTCGCACACATCCAATTAGTATAGTTGAAGATCCATTCATGTACCAGACCGACAAAATTCTTTCATTCCCGGTTGGCACCAATCTTACTAAATTAGATTTTCAGGTTTGTGTTTATTGTGATTTATTGAATGTTTTACATGTGTATATGTCTATTTTTAGCATTTAGAAAGAGAGGGAATAGCATTGAATGTCGACTGGTCGGTATTTTCAAATCAGAATCCCTATCGAGAGAATAAAATATAATAATTGTACTGCCCCTTTTTCACACCGCAATAATTTTTCTATCGGTCTTAACGCCATAGGCTTGTACTTAACAAAATTAACACATGTTTTTTTTTCTAAAGGGATCGTCTCTAGAAGGGATAGGTAAAGATGACGTTGCCATTTTAGTAGGGTCAACCAAGTGCATCGTAGAAAATGTTCATGAGGACAACATATCGTGTTTTATGATTCACCATATGGAGATTACAGAGGGACTTAAGGAACGTGTTAAGGTACACTTCCTGTTGGGTTTTTTGTCAAATCATAATATTATCATGGTTATAGGCCGATTTTGCCTTAGAAATGCTTTTATTTTTATTTCTCAAAAGCTTTTTAATTTTGGTGTACTTTTAAAGTATCCAGAAAGTTACTCATTATCTAATTAACTTCTATCTGCTGTTTTTTGTGTGTGTATGGTTTTTTGGGTGTGTGTTTTTTTTCTCGGGTTTTTTTTTCTTCTTTTTTTTAATAAAACAATTAAAGTGAATAAGTATTTTGTATGGAAGTAAAAATACTTCTTTATTTAAATTTTGCTACTTTTTCGACAAATAATTACACATTCATTTCTATTTTATTCAGGTTACAAGCATCTAAAAACAATTCTGTAAAACCATTATTTAAACATTTTAAAATTCATGTTCGCACTTTCTAAAGAAGTAAAAAAATGTTTCTAAGGCATGATGTGCCTTTAAGGTCCAAGTTACCGACAGTGTAACAGTCACATGGCGACTTTCCACCTCAGGTGCCACAAAAGATATTTTTATATTAATCAGCACCAGTCCTTTAGGTCAGGGTCTTTCAAATAGAATGGTCTGGAGACAGACCAATTTTACGAAAAATGCTGTCTCGGTTGAGCCACGTGTTTGGTTATCTACCGACTGTGATATGGCATTCAAAATGCTAATTATAAGATAATGTTTTGTTAAATCAATCAAAAAATTACTAAAAACTAACTCTGACTACATTATATTATCAGTTTTTACTTTAAATAGATTTGCAATGAAATTAGAATTTTTTCGTTCCCGGGTGTCAAGGTAAAAATCTACTGCTCATATTTGAAAATAGGTCCGAGTTTCATGAGCTTTTTTACATTCATGCATTGTTCAATGACAAAATAAAAATTGATTTTACAGAGAAAAGATGTTATTAAATCGTATCATGTAAAAATATTATAATATTTCACGATGTTATTTGCCAATATTTGATGTTTAATTTGGTGCATTTTCAAAATGGCGCCGATTATCGGCAAATATTCCGAACAAACAATCTATTTTTTTTTTAAACAAAGATTGCTTTAAAAAACATCATTTCCTGAAATATTTATCCTTTTTTCTAAAGTTTAAAGATTTTTGAATAACATCATGTCGTTAAAATTTTCATTTTTGCTCTTGTATTTAATATTCGCCCTTTTCTTAAACACTTACATGATTTGCTTATAGCAAACTATACCGATTTATACCGAGACATGTTTAATTGTAGCGAGAAGGGTTTACATAGTGTGTTTCCAGACCATTGTATTTGAAAGACCCTGTTTAGGTTTAACATATTTAGCATTCGCTTGTATAGGTGATTAATTATTCTGGTTAGGTATTATGTATTGAAAAATTTAATGATTAAGCTAGACTTACCTATGTAGAAGTAAGGCGAAGGTTGATCATAATTTCATGCGACACAAAACTCCCTAAGGGCTCACACAGATTAGGAACGCAGCTACCAGCCCAGCAGCCAAGGTATTCATTTTTTAAAGAAAGTAACGTGTATATATTTTGGAGCATTTTTTATCGGGTGGAAGCGGGCGGGCGTGTGAGCCTTTAAGGAGTTTTGTGTCGGATGAAATTATGATCAACCTTCGCCTTACTTCTACGAAGGTAAGTCTAGCTTAATCATTAAATTTCATCCAACACATAAACTCCCTTAAGGGCCCCACAGATTGTTTAGAGCAAATTGCTACGAAATATTCCAATTCCACTCAAAATAATTATATAATAATTATTATACATATAATTATGTACTATGACAAAACAAAACCCCAATAAACATTCCAACGACATATTATTATTATTATTATATTTACTTTATATATTTCATCATTTAATAATACTCATTTGTAATTCATTGGTATCTTTTGAGAATGTTTTGTTGTAAAAATTTTACTTGAAGATTTTGATCTTAACGCCTTATTTGCCACATTGGCAAGATCCTCGTGGATAGCATCCCCTGTTTCGTCTGCATTCTGCCCAAGGGTCAAAATCGGCCCCGCCCTGGGGGTCATTGGTTGTCCTTATATGTATATAGTAAAACCTTAATGTAAAAACTTTAAAAAAAAATTCTTCTAGCAGTTGACAAATGCTAGAGTTTAGATATTTTGCATGAAACATTCTGTAGTGAATCTCTAGCAAGATTGTTCAAATTATAGCACTGGGGTCAAAATTGCCCCAGCCCTGGGGGTCATTGATTTTCAATATATACATATATTAAAAAATCAAAAAAATCTTATTGTCTGAAGGTACAAAGCTTAGAGCTTTAATATTTGTTAAATGATATCATCTATAGGTACTAAGGCTTAGAGCTTTTATTTTTTTTGTTATATGATATCATCAATAGGTACCAAACTTGTTCAAATTTTGTCTCTAATGTCGAAATTAGCCCCCCCGCCCCGGAGGTCATAGGTTTTCCTTATATGTATATAGTAAAAACTTAAAAAATCATATTCTCTAAATTGACAAAGGCTAGAGGTTAGATATTTTGCATGAAACATTGTGTAGTGAACCTCTAGTAAGATTGTACAAATTATAGCCCTGGGGTCAAAATTGGCTCCAGCCCCGGGGGTCATTGATTTTCACTATGTACATATAGTAAAAATTTTAAAAATCTTCTTGTCTGAAGGTACAAGGCTTAGAGCTGTGATTATTGGTTAATGATATCATCTATAGGTACTCTACCAAAGTTGTTCAAATTTTGCCTCTAGTGTCAAAACTAGCCCCGCCCCGGGGGTCATAGGTTTTCCTTACATGTATATAGTAAAAACTTTAAAAAATCATCTTCTCTAATTGACAAATGCTAGAGGTTAGACATTTTGCATTAAACATTGTGTAGTGAACCTCTAGCAAGATTATTCAAATTAAAGCCCTGGGGTCAAAATTGGCCCGCCCCTGGGGATCATTGATTTTCAGTCACTTTGTCGTAAAGTAAAAAGTTAAAAATCTTATTGTCTGAAGGTACTAATCTGATAATAAAAGATAGGTTAGTGCTCTATGCATTATGGCTATCTGTATAGAAACAAAAAAAATTGTGTTCCTACATTTCTATTTAGTGTTGTTTTTATGCGGTGGCATGGCATTTTTTACAAATGCAATCTTGTTTTACTTTTTGCTATTTTTATGACAAATCATTTCACATTCAGCGCCGTTTTCTTCACGAATTGGGCATCTAACATGGCTGCTATGAAATAAATATTAAAAAATTATTAAGCATAAGGTTGCCTTTTTGTCAAAAAACGCGGAATATATCTTGCGCATTTTGGGTTCTGTGTAGGGCAAAATGAAAATTGAGGTTATATTGTTCTATATAATAAGGAAAATAATATTGTCTTATCATACATACAATGTCTTGTTGCTCACCATACATGTATGTAACATATTCATCTTACGGTCCATTTTGCAAGAATATCATTTGTTTTATTTACTGAGATTACTTTCTGCTGAGAAATGGTCGACCAATTACTGTACTTGTAGGACCAATTACTATACTTGAGAAGAACGTGTACTTTATGTGGTAAACGTTTGAAACCATCATACGCATTCCCTTCCAAAAAAACAAAACAAAAAAAGAAGAAGAAAAACAAAAAACCCAAAAAACTTTTGACTGCCGAGTTTCTGATTGCATTAGTTAGTGAAGGTGAAATAATCATGCTATTTCTGTTTATTATTGAAACATAGTGGATCTATACTTTTCTTTTTCCCCAAAAGTGTGACATCGGATATCGGACGTACGACTTAGGCACAGTTGCATTCGTGATGCAGAACAAAAGTGACAACAATTTCGTGTTTGTCACCGTTGGGGTCATTGTGGGATTGGTTGCCATTGTGGTCGTAATCTTGGCCTTGGCAATAAGGAAAAAAAGAAAGAGGCGTCCGTTTTCTATGGATGAACCTTACAACGCTATACAAAACAGGCAAAACGGTAACAAAAAAGCTTTGGTGATATTTCAAGAATAAAATTGAAACTTAAAGGGCCTCCACTGATGTCTAAATGCCCATAAATATAAAATTTGAATTTTCTTACATAGATCAGCTGAGACACTTGAAACTGAAAGATATGCAAAAGATGACTGTGAAATATACTCAGAAATAAATTGGAAATCGTAATTTGGTGCTATACATAGCTAAAATTCGAGTGAAAAACATTTCAATGCTTTTCAATTTTGGTTATTTTTCACAATTTAAAAAATTATTCTGGAAAAAAACAGAGTGAGTGAATGATTTATAATTTTGAACAAAGGTTTTTGGTCTAGACCTACTTCAAAAGGAACATTAATCTCGAAAAAATATTTTCAGCTCGTAATTATGTCAAAACCTTCAGCGAAGTACCTTTAAAGATCGCGGTAGTATCACACTTTCTGATAAATAAATGATTGGCTTGAATAGTAACATCTTGAAAATAAAACTCAACTTGTAGATAATAATTTACGTACTTATATGTCCATGTCGGGATCATTTCAGATTACCAAGAGCGCATACATATTCGAGATACACATGAGAATACGGACGTAAAAGAGACGGCATTGATTGACGATGATACTGCAGGGCTTGAGCTAGGTCATGTCATTCTGATAAACCAAGACTTAAGTCAAGAAAAGAAAGGACTAACAACAAACAAGCATGATAATATAAATACTTTAACAGAAGAATACGACTCGTC